TAAGAAATTTAATTACAGAAAAAAATTTCTAAAATAAAGATTTTTAAACTACATTTGTATTGCTAAAAAATAGACATTCAATATAATATTACACTTCCTATTTCCTAATAAGTGTTATAGATAATTGTTTCAAATTATTTTCTAGCTAAGATAGGTTGGAGGAAACCTTAGTTGAGAGTCAAGATATTATATAAAGCATGTGGTTAGAGTAAAATCTTGTAAGAGTTATTTGTTAATTGCTACTGTAGTATTAAAAATTTGTGTAATTCTTGAGAGGTTGTTAGTAGAAGTAAATATTATTAGAAAGTGAATTTTTGTACATTTAGTTTTAGTAGTTTTTTTTAGTATTTTAAATATCTAATATTTAAAAAACAACTTAGACAATTAAATATTATATATCTTGAACAATTTTGTATAGCTAATAATAGTATCTTATTAGATTAGAAACATCTTTTATTTAGACTGCTATACTTGTCTAAAAATAGAAAACTCTTTTGATTTTCCTATTTAGAGAATACAATTTTAGTATACTTTTACTACTAAAATATATTACTATACTATTAATTACCTAGTCACAACTCTCATACTTACTATACCTACTACACTATTAACTTATTTAAAAAAAATTATAAAATCTAAACTTTGATTACTTTTATATTATAACAATAAAATTATTATTAAAAAAATACAAAAATATTTTTCTTTATCTAACTATACTCTATTACTTACTGGATTTTCAATATAGATTTAAATTATTTAAAATTCTATCATTGTTTTTTTTTTTTTAGTATTAAGCTGATCTCTTTGGTCTTTTGACTTTTATTAATCACTTATTGGTATTGTAGTTCAATGAACCATTACAAGTGAGAGTACAATTAGCTATACATGTAACTTTTCTATATTATCTATTTAAAGATCTACCCAAAGGTTCTCTATCAATTATCATACCTAACACTCCTATTTGGATGTTCCACTTTAAACTCTCTGAATTTGTAACCTGTGTTAACTTACTGGGTTATACCCAAATGCCCAGATTATTATCTCAATCTTAGAACTAATTTATTCTTGAGGTAAACTCCCTAGAGCCTTCTGTATTTATTTTTACAACTGATCTAGATATCACTATGGCAGAACCAACACTTGTGGTTAGGACTGACTATTAAACCACTATGCTCTTGTAGAGTTCACTTAGACCTCAGCATCTACTTCACAGTATAACTTCAGTACTTTAATATATCCTTGCCTTTTCACCTATCTTTTTATCAAACTCTTAATCCAGATAGCCTGTGTATGACTATGACCAGTCCATTGGTATATTAGATTAGCTCAATATTCTTTTTCTCTAGTTCGTTCTAGCAGCCTAGTTGATAATACTTTCGAGACTTCTTAACCCAGAGGTTTTTGCCTGTTTGGCTACTACAACCAGGTACTACAACCTTGGTATTCATTTCCTTAGGCTTGCCTTTACAGTAAGGCCATCGAAAATCCAGTTATCTTTCTATTTAGGTCTTCTTAAATAAACTTCTTGTTATCCAATTTCAATGAATTTACATAGCTACAAGAACTTATTTAATATTTGCACTGCCCAATTTGTTGGTTTGCATTACTCTGTGTAACATTATACTTATACAGATGCCCTATAACCTGTCAGTCATACTGGTGTGACTGCCATTATAGGTATTTTAAACCAATTATTAGTAACAGTTGCCATAATATAAATATTACATAGGTAATTATCCAAATTTTTGCTGTCAATAGGATTTGAATACCCAATCTACCACTTGGGGGGTTAACAACCTAACTACTTCACTAGGTCACCACATTCTTAAAATTTTATTTTTTATCTTTTGTTGAATACAAATAATATAAAAAATGTTATCTTAATTCTTACAAACTTGTACTGTCAAAATTTTTGCAATTATCTTAACACAATTTCTTAATAGAACTAATTTTAAATATTAACTTAACCTTAATGCAAATTACTTAAACCTTATTTGCTCTACAGCTATTAAACATTCAACTTGTACTTCTCCTCTATCTACTATTTCTATTACTAATTCAATTGCTTCTAAAATTTTTATTCCAAATAAAATCACTAACAAATTTCTTATTATAATCATTCTTATTAACAACTATTTTTTTATACTAATGACTTAGTAATCAACATTGGTACTGACCAATGCACAATAGGTATTAGTTAGATCCAAGTTGATAACAATAATCAAACTATTAACTCCTCCTTTACTAAAATACAATTCTGGCCGCACTAGAGTGGTCTTATCAGAGCAACCGAATTTTAGTAAAAGCAAAATAGCACTAGTAATATCGTAATAACCACATAACCAAATCTAACCAAATAGACCTTATATTCGTAGCATTACCCCAGCATGTCTTAGTTATAATTTTTGTGAAGAAATTACTGTATGTTGTGTAACTAGCAATAATTATATAGAATATGTAATTTAATATAAAATTGTAAATAAATAATAAATAATATTAAAAAAAAAAAAGTAAATAAATAATAAATGTGTAATATACACAGTGTAATTTAAGAAATTTTCTTTCAAAAAATGACAAAAAAAACCCACCCAAATTGCCGATTTAAAAAAATTACTTTTAGACATTGTATACGTTGTAAAACATATGTATCGTTGGTGAAAAAGCTGTTTTATTAAGAGTTTTGAATTCGTTGTACGTATTAAGAGTCGACAACGTATCGGTATTAAATTTTTTTTTGGGGGTCATCGCTAATTGAAATTGACGCATTTGTGTAACTTACAAAATCTGCAATGATAAATTCTACAGTTAGCTAACATAGTTGAATTAATGACACCTCAACGTTCACGATCTTTGCCTCGCAGACGTTCTAGGTCTTCACGATCTCCACCTCGTAGACGTTCTAGATCACCACGATATCCACGTTCTTCACCTCCTAGACGTTCTAGGTCTTCACGATCTCCACCTCGCAAACGTTCCAGGTCACCACGATCTCCACTTCGCAGACGTTCTAAGTCACCACGATCTCCACCTCGTAGACGTTCTAGGTCACCACGATCTCCACCTCGTAGACGTTCTAAGTCACCACGATCTTTGCCTCGTAGGCGCTCTAGATCTTCACAATCTCTAACTCGCAGACGTTCTCGATCGCGAACTCGCGTTACACATTCGCCTGTTCGCTCCCCTTCTCCGACAACAAAGGATGACAAACCACAGGAGGTCGCAAAACCTAATTTCGGCCTATCCGGAAAACTTGCAGCAGAAACCAACACGGTTAATGGTGTTGTATTAAAATATCATGAGCCTTCTGAAGCAAGAAAACCAACAAAGAGATGGAGATTATATGTGTTCAAAGACACAGAACAGCTAGGTAAGGCGAGAATTTATTTATTTATTCCTTGATTATATAAACCAAGTATTAATCACTAAAAAACAGATGATGCGATTCTCTGTCATGTTTTAAATAGACGTCCTTCATGTTTATCGCCAAAGTGCTTATCTATTAGGTCGTGATAGAAAAGTAAGTGATTCTCTTCCAGATCGGTTTAAAATAATACCTGATTATGTTTAATTAACATGTCTATACTTTAATAAGGTTGCGGATATTCCAATTGACCATCCATCTTGTTCCAGTCAACATGCAGTTTTGCAATTTCGACAAGTATTTGTTACCGACGAGAGTACAGGGGAGAAGAAACCTGAGGTCAAACCATATATAATTGATCTCGAATCAACTAACCATACGTTTGTAAATAAAACAGAAATTCCAACCTCAAGATATGTGGAATTACGTCCATCGGATGTAATTAAATTTGGTTTTAGTACTCGTGACTACGTTTTAATTCACGAAGATGAGGTAGAATTATCGTAGATTACCCCATTAATTGAAAGTACACCACGATTTATACCGGGTATGTTACAAGGTCTATTACTTACATATCTTGTAGAAGACCCGGGTACACTAAACTTTTTTTTTTACCGTTACACTTTTCCATGTGCTCCTAGAGATGATGAACAATTAGGGAATGATCGATCATTTGATTTGTTTGATCGTGACCGATCATTAAAAATTTTTGTGTATGGTCGATAAGTGATTGATCATTAGATAGTCATGCCTTATACCATTCATCATTCGTATTATATTCGCTACACGTTATTCGTGCGACTCATAAATTTAAATGCAAATAACTTTTATGTTCAGGCTAATCAACGCGAAATAAAATGAATATTCATAAGAAATTCCAATTTTAAAATACAAAATCCTAATAATTATAATTTTCTATGCTAATTCCGTAGTATTGATGTTTTTTTTAGATTAACGCATCTTTTTTGCAATATCGAGTGATTTTGTCAGGAGAAAATTTATAACCAGTTAGTACATTATATGAACTCGGTAAATTATTAAGAAAAACATCCAAATTTATTTATGCACAAAATATAACGGAAAAGTATTATTATAGTTTTTAAACACAACCGGGATATTACCCTTTAATAACAACCCGGGTAGTTATTACAAAAATTTAAAGTTTATATTGACATTTTTTACAATTAAAAAACTATTTTAACAACAAAGAAAAATTTTAACTTTACAATTAGTAAGGTTGAAATTTAAACTATTATAGCAAACCTTGAATATAATCGACTTGTTGAGTTGCTTGCGAAATATGTAAAGAATAAATGGGTATCGAGATCGAAATTTGGTAAATGAATTGTCCTTAAATATAATTTTATCGAAATTTCGTTGTCATGTTCATTGTCGATTTCGTTATTTTCACAATTGATTTCATCGTTACTGTTGCTTCATTACTTTCAATTTTTTTACGAATGTGGATCTTTATAAATTGAATAAAAGTCACGAGCTTTTATAAAAAGATTGGTTTAGTTTATTGAAATTCGATACATGCCAGTAGAGTGTCCAGACTTATGCGATTTCAGGGATTTTGAACAATGGAAATCCCTGAAATCGCATAAGTCTGGACACTCAATTAATCGATTTAATATATACAGATTTGTCAAGTACAATATACGTTTTATTATTGGTAAACCTAAATCTACAACTTATAATTCTAAATCTATTATCTATGACAAGAACTTTTACAAAACTAAATGAACTTAAACATAAATCCAGTTTTTTTATTGAAAGAAGTTTACACCAACAATACTAGTTAAACAGTCAGTAATGATTTATTTAGTTAAACTTAGTTGAGTCTTATTTCATTCAGGGTTGGCAATGGAGCCCAATGGAGCTGCGAATGGAGCCAATGGAACTCTAGTTTTTTTGAATTACATTCGCATAGCCACTGGCTCCATGCATTTCATTTACCTTACTTGAGTTAGTCGATTGTCTACAATACTTATATGAAATAATTTCATATGACCAATAAACGTTGAATAAATTTTGTCCTCTAAGTAAACTATATCGATACGTAGCAGTGTAAATCTCGAAATAATTTCTTATAAGAACAGGATAACTAGAGATGATAATAAACGAAGGCTACTACGTATAGTTTATGCCAATAGCATTAAAGAGGATTTATAGTGAATTGCAATTACAAAAGAGGCAAACGACTAAATGTATAACAGTTTATTAATAAAATCTTGTGCTACTCATGTATGAAGGCATGATTACTCTTTATTAATATTTGAGTGAAAGCACTAACTATTCACTTATTCACTATCGATTCGGAGGCTATATATACATGTTGTTAGTTATGAATCTTTGCGACTAATCTATAATACACTTGCCAACTAATTTTTTTTTAAAAAAACGCATCTAAGCATACTTCTAACACTGAATTTTATGATTAGTAACAATATGAATAATAGGAAAAATATAGAATTGTTAAATTATTGTCAGGGTTGATAAATTATCATAATTTTAAAAGTTTTTGGTAATTTACCCAGAAAGTTTGGTAAATTCTGGTAAATTTACAATTAGTATGTTAATTATTATAGTCAATAGAATCATTAGCTTAAGTATACATATACAATATACTGCTATAAATGTTACAAAATTGATAATTATAGTATAGTACTAGCTCTTAGACACGGGCGATGCTCCGGGGCTAGGTTCTAAGTATTTTAAATCTCAGATTTTGTAGTATTTAAATTTTCATATTTTGTAGTTATTTAATTTATAAATTCAATATTAGTTTAAAAATAATGTAGTTATTAATTTAACTCTTAGGCTCAAGTGATGCTTTGGGGTTAGGTTCTAAGAAATTTAAATCTTAAAATTTGTTTTTTATTAGAATTTAAATTTTTTGTTATTCAATATTAGTTTAATTTATAGTTTTCTAGCTCTTAGATCCAGATGATAATTCAAAGTTAGGTCCTAAGTGTTTTAGATCTCAGATTTTAGTTATTTAGTTTAAAAAATAAAGTAATATAATTTAAATTATAATTTTCTAGTTTTTAAACCCAGATGATGTTTCAGAGTTAGGTTTTAAGTGTTTTTGATTTTAGATTTGATAGTTTTTTAAATCTCAGAATCTGTACTTATTTATTTTAATAAATAATATAGTATATATTTATTTTATAGTTTTCTAACTTTCAAACTTGGGCAATGTCCAACAACATATTCTAATCTTAATTGCATTTCTTGCAACATATATAACAATCAGCTATATTGGCTAATCTGCCCAAACTCACTTATATTTAACTCAACTATTACCAATATAATACAATAATTCTTTAATTATTCACGACTAGATATAACAACTATACAACTACAAGAACTACACGATAAACTTACCAATCATCTATGTCTCTTGTCAAACAATTTTATTAGAAATCACACAAATATATACACAACAATACAAGGTTTTGTTCCATTCTTACTAATTAATATTATATAAAAATACACAATTAGCAATCAGTTAGCAACTGATATTACAATAAAATTTCTAATTCAATTATCACAAAATATCTACAACCAAATTTGGAAATCCTATTGCATCAAACTATCTGAATAAAAGCAACAAAACAATATTCCTAACTAACTATCACATAACTAATAAACAAATTATACAAATATATTTAGATTCTTAATACAAGCCAGAACAGTATATACTTACAGTTGTACTTATGGTCTTCCTGACCAATAACATACTAGAGACTTTTACAATTCTTATACTTACTTATTACAAAGAAAAATTAATAAAAAACTAACTAAATAGATATCCAAATAGATAAACTATAGTATTCCAACTAATCATATTTTACATTATCAAATCTAGGTAAGTTTTAATCACTTTAGTAGATTTAGGTTGCAGATAAATTAGATAAATTAGATAATAATTTCATCTATAGTCTGAGTCTTATTCTTGTAAAAAATTTG